AGCCTGTATGATGAGTCGGGAAACCCTGTCTCATAAGTGGAGATTTTCGAGGGTAAGATGGAAGTCGTAGCAACGAGAGACGTGATTAAATGCAGCGCTTTCCAGATTGCTCTAGATGGTCAGCTCGACTTTAGTACAAACAAGACAAGCTGATCTGGTCAAATAAGGATGACAAGAGGGAACTATTGGGTTTAGTGCCCTAAGCTCATGAGTTTGTAATTTATAAATATTTTATTTATTATTAATAAAAGTTATTTTATTATTTCTTTGCATTACTCGTATTCCAATAAACTAAGATCCAATGTTATTTAATGTAATTGGAACAATATACATTTGATCTACCGTTTATATTCAATATACTGTGTATATATTTGATATATAGTGTATATACAATATATATTCGATATACAAGTCTGGAATAATATATATTTGATATATAGTATATATTTAATACACGGTGTATATATGCGATATATACTATATATAGAGTATATATTTGATTTACAAGTGGATAATGTTCCAGTAATAACCTAAATGGTCTATAGTACATGGATAAGGTTGGGTACCTTATCATCGTAACACTATGGATACAGTCCGCTTTGTAATAGTAATAGTTATTAACGACTTTATCCAGGTCGTTCATGTAGAGACATGTGAGTGAGGATATCCTATACAATGAGTTTGTATAAGATCGGATCGCAAAATAATTAATCATTGACTTTAACACTGTTAGTCAATAGATTGTTATCTCATAGGATGACTAGGTAACTTGATCTTAATCCTAAGCGAGTTATGGACTCCTGCCTATAAGGGATCGTCCTTTGATTTGTATGAGTGAGAGTGACCCGGTTTACCGATTCAATAATCTTACCATTTTAGGGAAGAGACCGAGTGGGGAGCTTGGAATATAACTACGCAATATAGAATTCACTCCTTCCCAATTTTAGTGGAGTAGATGAGTGTTCCCTTACATACTGACTCCAGAACTTGAACAAGGGGCCCCACCCTCTCACTGGCCCGAGAGAGACTTCCGGTTATTAGTCGGACCATAACCGAGTTGTTCACTAGAGGAGCATTAGTATTTAAGGAGCAAGATGTAACTCAGGGGTAAAACGGTAATTTGACCCAGCTAGAGTTACGAGCACTCGTAAAGGATTGACTTGCCGTTAATGGTTGTACATTCTTGGACACAAAAATATTATATAGTGAGAAGAGTGCAGCTATGGTCTTTAGTGGAGTGACTCGCATTTAACGAATGTTGATTAACTTGAGTAATGAGTTTGACTGATTAATCTCACATTATTAAAGCTTCTGATCTGCAGGTCCATTACATCCCCTTGCTAGCTCACAACGGGTAAAACAAGGATAAAAAATTATGAAATAATTTGAAATGTTCAAATTATATAAGGGAAGGTATATAATGTATATTGATACATTATATAAATATATGTTAATTTTGGATAAAGATTCAAAATCAATACTATGTATTTTGAGAGTGAGGCTTAATGTTATGGGTGAGAAAAATCCGTATTTTCTACATTGGGAATTCAAAAAAAGAAAATATCCTTATGGTCTTGAGATTTCCCTTCGATTTAGGAGAAGATATCATATATAAAAAAGATAAGATATCTTGATGGTTTTAGGATTTTCCTCTATAAATATAATATTAAGCTGAACCCTAAAGGAACGCTAAAAAATCTCTTAACTCTCTTACTCTCTCAATCCCTTACAATTGGATCCCAAAATCCACATTCTCGATTGAGAGACTTAGCAAGGAAGGTCAAGTGGTGTTGTCTCATTAGGTTTACACAAAGAAAGTCTTCAAAGGTAAAATCCAACATTCTTCCCTATTTTATATTTTTCTGTGTTTTAAATTTTCAAAAGAAATTCAAGAATGCATTCTACTGCTTCCGCTCCAGGATTCACATCCCTTCAAATGTAATATTATAAAATTGAACGTATAGTTGAGTAGTTACTTATGACATTGTCTCTACCTCCTCTAAGAAGTTGTAGGTTCAAATCCACTCTCGTATTTGTAATGCATGTAATATTCTTTAAAAAAAATTTAAATAATTTACTAGTTTTAGAATTTGCTATATTTTTAATATGATATATTTATAAATTATAATTATGTTTTTTTTAAAAAAAATACATGTAAAATTAAGAATAAGTGACAAGTGAACTTTATATGCCTAGTTTATGTTACTTTTTGAGTGGTTACTGCACACACTTTCATGATTTCTCTGATGATATAGACTGCTTCATTAGGGATTAGACTATTTGAGGAGGGGGAGTGAGTAACTGTGTCGGTACAACTTGCCCTCATGTGGGATATAGTGTGTAACTATCTTTGGAGTAGACGTTCTTCTGCACAATCGTCAGGACTTCATTGTCTTGCAAGAGAGGACTATGGGATCCGTCTAGGTGGGCGCATTTCCCTCGTCCTGGTTTAATTCTATGACTTCCTGTTTTGAGATACTCCATTGGATTAGTACTTCCATGGTGACTGCCCGTGGCAGGTTGGTTTCGTATGTCGTGGCAATCCATGCCACAACGTCTACATATGAATTTTGGAATCATAGGACCTGCTTGATTTCCCATTTAAACAAGGTGCTAAGTATAGGCTTCTTATCTTGGACAAGTAAGTTGACATTCTTTCCTCTTTTACTTTATATTCATCCAAGATTTGTTTAACGATCAATAAGGAGTGGTAGAGTATCTACAAGTGTCGGACGCCAACTTCACTTGCCACACTTAGGCCTGCTATTAACACCTCGTACTCAGCTTTGTTGTTAGAAGCTTCAAAGGAGAACCGTTGTGCGTATTCAAAGAGTTCGATATTAGGTGACGTGAGTAAGAGACCCGCGCCACAACCGCTCTCATTGGATGACCTATCTAGGAATAGAGGCTAGGGAAGGCTTCCTCGGTGCGAGCTTTTGGGGTCCTTATTGGTCACAGTTTCGTCCGGTGTCATCTCAGCTATCGCTTGTGTCCTTCACGTTCTCAGCCTTCCGAATGCTTTAGGTTTCTACAGTATTTGCTTCGAGAAGCTCATTAGAACCGTTACCTTATGGGCTTAGAAGTAGGGCCACAGTATTGATGCTGAAATGACTAGGGCAAGCACAAGCTTCTCCACTTGTGGATACCGCGTCTTTGCCTCGAGAATCATCTTTCTAGTATAATATATACGGCTTGGCAGGAATCCTTTTTTTGACGAGTGTTGAGCTTATAGTAGTGTTATACGTGGCAAGGTACAAGTAGAGATTGGTGCGAAGGTCTGGCTTAGGAGGGGCATCATTGTGAGATATTCCTTTCGTTGGGTGAAGGCGCTCTTGCTATCGTCAGTTGACTCGTACTTATGCCTTTCCTCATGATTTTGAAGAATGGGAGGCACTTGTCAATAGCTCAGGATACGAAGCGATTAAGGGCATCTATCTTACTTCTTACGCTTTGTAGTTGCTCCAAGTGTTTGGGCGATTCCATTTCGACGACCATCAGTATTTTGTCGAGGTTCGCTTCCATCCTGTGGTGATGGACAATGAAGTCGAGGAAGTTTCCCAAGGTGATGCTGATGGTGCACTTGTTAAGGTTTGTCTTCATGTTATACCTTCTAAATATGTCAAAGGCTTCGTTGAGGTCTGCCTCATATTGGCTAGCTTCTCTACTTTTTACAAACATGTCATATACGTACACCTTCATGTGCTTCGGCCTATTTGTTTGACAAACATCTTATCCACAATCCTCTAATGAATGACCCATTGTTTTTCAGGCTGAAGGGCATTACTCTGCAACGGTAGAGCTCATGGTCCAGGACGTGCATCCTGATCTTGTTTTAGCTGAAGTACATGTCCATAATCGTAAGCATCTCATGGTGAACTGTTGCATCGACCAGCTAGTTTATATAGGGAGGGGGAAGCTATCCATGGGGCAAGCCCTTGTTTTGGTTCGTGAATTCGACCCAACTTTCATTGGCCTTTTTTACAATGATAATGTTGGAGGACTAATGTGGCCGGTAGTGTACTTCATGTATAAAGTCGACCTTGAAAAGTTGCTCGACCTTTGCCGCGATAGCCCCGCTCTGCACTGCGTCTACAGAGTGTTGTTTTTGCTTTATGGACTTGTGTTTGAGGTCAACGTTAAGCTTGTTCACTTAATGACCTTCATATCAATTCTAAGCATGTCTTCGTGCGATCATGCAAATACGTATGCATTATTTTTCAGGAAATTTGTGACGCTTTGCCTCTGGTCAATCCCCAACTTCTCCTGGATGTTAAATTTTCTATCTTCAGTTAGGAGAAGATAAGGCGCTCCAGTTCTTTAATGGGAGAGCTTCTTTGGTCCTCATCCCTCTGGGTCGGGGCCCCTTGAGGGGAAGCTCTTCTGCGAGTGCGTTCTCTTGTGGCACCATTTCTTTGATTGGACGAGTAGCCCATTCGTGTATCATTTCTAATCGTTAATGTTTGAGAGGTAAAGTTAATTGGCTGTCAACTCGCTCTCCTCATAGACGGTGCCAATTGTTGATGCCGATTTTTGGGCAACTGCCACGTAAGTGTCACGGAGGTGCCATATACGTCTTCATCTCGAAGCTGTACATTACCTACCATCATAAATCTAGAGAATGATATTTGTACACACAAACTACAATATCACGCAACGATGGGTACATTGAGGAAGTGCAACACCACAAGGTCATATTAATAACCACCACCCTTTAAATGAAGTGATATGCGAATCCCCTCCCCACCCATGCTAAAAAGAAAAAATAAAAGAAAAAGTCTGTTTTGTCCTCCTATTACATATGGTAGAAACCAAAAGCACCATGGTCCATAAAAGAGAGAAAATGAAATAAGAAAATGACATGCAGCGTGTGAGCAAGAGATTCGGTAGATAGCCTATAATTTGAATAATCAATATATAATTTTTATCCATAATTTATTGTGAAACTTGTGTGTATATATATTCGACGACTTTTCATCTTCTTATCCAAATGACCATAAAGTCGAACATTTGCAGCCCAGAGTTTGTTAATCACATCACATCATCATCTCTAACACGCCTCCAAAATTCAACCCTCAGCCCCCGCCGCCGCCGCCGGCCGGCCGGAACATGAGGGACGACAAATTCCCCCACCAACACCACCGCCGCCGCAACGCCGCCATTGCCCTCCTCAAGCTCGCCGCCTGCCTCATCATCCTCTCGCTAACATACGCGCTCGGTTACTTATCATCGTCCGCTACGACGCCGTTTTCATCCTCTCCTCCCCATCACAATAATATTCCTTCTCTTCCCACACCGGTTCTGCTGGATACACCCACCGCCGACACCGTCGCCACCGCCGCCACCGCCGTCGAGCAATTCCGCGTTAGAACGCTCTGCTCCCCACCGCTCCCTCACCACCTAGTTCGCTCCACAATTCTCCAAAAACTCTTCAACGGGACCTCCCCGTTCCGCGACTTCCCTCCCCATCACGTGCGCCACCTCCTCCACCCAAAGCGCATCAAGGGCTGGGGCTCCAACGGCGCCGTTTTCGAGAACCTCGTCCGCCAAGTCAGGCCCCGCCTCATAATCGAGGTCGGCTCCTTCCTCGGAGCCTCCGCGATCCACATGGCGAGTCTCACTCGCCAACTTGGCCTCCCCACTCAGATCCTCTGCGTCGACGATTTCCGCGGCTGGCCCGGCTTCCTCGACCGGTTCTCCGAACTCTTTATGGTCCACGGCGACGTTTCGCTGCTGTACCAGTTTATGCAGAACGTGGTGGCCTCGAACGCGTCCGGTTCGGTCCTGCCGTTGCCGTTCTCGACCGGGTCGGTTCTGGATAGCCTGTGCGAGTGGGGAGTGTACGGGGACTTGATTGAGGTGGATGCGGGTCATGATTTTAACTCGGCCTGGTCCGACATAAACCGGGCATACCGGATCCTCCGACCCGGCGGGGTTTTGTTCGGCCACGATTATTTTACTGCCGCGGATAATAGAGGGGTGAGACGGGCAGTTAATTTATTTGCACAGATTAATCGCCTCAAAGTCAAAGTCGATGGTCAACACTGGGTTCTTGTTTCTGATTAACACTCCATTTTTTTTATTATTTTTTTAATGTAAAATTTGGGAACATACTTATGAATGAGCTCTGTAAATTGGTTGTAAATTTGAAGCCATTTTAATTAACTCCAAGTCCAAGCTGTTTGAGAATAATAACAACACATTTCTTTATTATTTTATTTTATTTTTCAACTAATCAAAATTATTTGTCAACTTTGATAAGTTCCTCTACCAAGTCTGAGAGCTATTAAGGGGATCTGATTGGACCCTCAATTAATAAGCTTCAATGTCATTGAATTACCTAATTGATCAACTTTTTAATTAATTAATTTCAAGGTTATTGAACTAAAATTTTTAGATTATTTGTAGTCTTGGTGATTTGAGGTCTACAATTTTCATTAAAATTTATTTATTATATTCTTGTTTTGATCACCGTGAAAAGAGCTTTCCAAGAAATAAAATTTTACATTGATCCGATCCTTGCTAATACTTATAAACTCTCTTTTAAACGAGAATTATTTATGCTACATGCTCAAGAATTTAAGTCAACTTTCGTGAGCATATATATATCTCTAGGATCTACATATAGTAAAATTTGGTGCCAAATTAAAGCTTATTGAATTAGCTTTCCAACAGTCCATGATTCATTGAATTTCATTACGTATTGTGAAAGTTATGTGTCTTTTAATACACATTGCTCATGCTGGAAACTGTTGTGGCCAACACTGAACTAGCATCCAGCTACTTCGATTTGATTTTTGTTGCTAATCATTGCTTTGAATATAGCCAAATTGGGTACTATTTTAAAGGTCTTTCAAGGAGCTTTCCAATTCATTGAAGGATGTCCAATCCAAAAACTTGCCATTATCTGGAGCTTGACAATTGGAGTGGAACCAAATTTGACCAGCCCACTCTAAATAAGGTTATTTTTCACAACTTTTTATTTCCTTTGATATTAGTACTTTCCTTTTCAACATAATTTCTATGAATCATCCAAATAAAATAGTCACACAATTTGATCAAGATTTTGACCAAGTCTGTGAAGCTTGACTTAACCAAGGTTTGACTCGGTGGACGACCTAACGTACAAGCAAGTAGAAGACCTGCAAAAAAGAGGTAGCACTCCGATACTCAAGTCAGTAACTGGCTAATCTATACTTGGGAGAGAATATAGTTTCGCGTACCAAAATCTGAGGCGTCTTCTCTATTCGCTTTACGTTTTCGCCGCGAGAGTCCTCTAGCGACCTTATTCCAACGACTAGGTTGGCGACAAATAATTTTTCGTCATTGGACAACTTTAGCAATGAAAATATTTCATTACTGAAACCAATTTTTCTAGTAGTGGAGATGTTTCTATTTATATGCGAAGATTCTAACCAAACTTCCGACAAGCCTCCAATGGTTTTCTGACAGTCCGAGAATCGCAGCGTCTGTTATCATGGATTGTGTTGGAGTTAAGTTCCCGAAAGAGTATCGTTTAATTGGCTTGGCTGATATCTCTGGCGACCGATGTAGAGATTGGAGCTCGACTCGGCGCTCGCATCTTAGGTGACCGAGGTAGGAGATATAAATCAGCTCGTCTTCTAAGTGACTTACAACCTGCATCTTTAGTAGATCGGCTCAGTCTCTTTAGAAAGGTCCGAGGTACAGTTACTTCAGTGTGTAGATCTTCATGCCGACTCATCATCATCACCATATTAGATGGTGACATGTGGTCGTTGGTGAAAGATCACCTCTAACGCACATCTAGAATTTTATGTCAAAAGGGGTATAAAAACATATAAATATAATGAAAAAAATATCAATTTTAAGCATAGACTAATGTATAACAATTTACCATTTATACTTGGATAAATGTTGTAATCTCACCTTGAACTTGAGAAAGTGTTGTTGGAGCTCGCAAAGGTGGGGAGGAACCCTAAATATTCATTAAAATCATTATCACCACAAAGGTTACAAAGTAAGAAAAGTAGGCTTTTTTTATGGCCAACATAAGAAACCTTAATACACTTAAACTAACTAAAGAAGCTTATAACTCCTAAAGCCAAGTAAACTTAGAGCTAATAAAACACTTAGAAGTCATTTATTTTTCAGGAATGTAGACACTTGGAATTTTAGAAGTCTAGCACTTTCAGATAGTCACGTTTGTTTTGTAGGAAAATTTATAAGGATATCTGCGAATATTTAGATAGTCACGTTTATTTTGCAGGATTTATTGTTGGGAATATGTTAAATTTATAGAATTTTCCAAAAATGCCCTTACAAAAATTCATATAATTTATACATTCATTTAATATAATAGATTTATTTGAATTAATTCAATATTTTATTTTTATTCATTTAATATAATAGATTTATTTGAATTAATTCAATATTTTATTTTTTATATATTATTTTGTTGACTATTAGTTTAATATGAATTTCATTTTCAATTTTAATATTTTTCTCAAAAGACAATTGTTATTGGATAGAAGAATGAAGCTCACGAAGCGATAGAAGGGGAGCTTAGGTCGGGAGAGAAGTGCACGAAGAGGTAAGACTCGAAGCCTGTCGACCTGAGCCGACCCGGGTCGATTGCGGCCAGCCCATGGCTGGCGCCGAAGCGTTCTCGGCCATTGTTTATCCTTTCTCGACCCCTACGCGGCCCAATCCGACTCTACCTTGACCTAACCTTGGATTTCGCATTTGGTCCAATACGAAATGCACGAGCCCTAGAAGTCCAAATTTAGGGCACAGTAGGATTTGATTTAGGTGATTCCTAAAGAAGGGAGGATGAGACTCCTATAAATAAAGGGGGAAGCCAAACCCGAAAGGCATGCTCACAATAGCCTACACTATATACTCAATTACTCTAATCCTAACTTAAGCATCAGAGCCTGTGTGACACCAAAGCCACACCAAACTTAGTGCTGTTATGTTTTGCAGGTCTTATCGTTCTCTCTATTTTTGAAGATTGGTACAAATTTGGTGGAGTTCCAGGAGGCCAAATTTCTGCATCTAACAACAATCATATAATTAGTGTTATCTTGGGTGAAATTTATTTATCTTATGATCGCATTAATTTTTATTAAGAGGAATAATTTCACAGGTATGTCGGTCATAAAAAAATTTTGTTTTAAAATTATATATTTACGATAATAAACATTGTTAATAATATAATTCCTTTAAAATATTAAAAATAAATGGAGATATTATATAATTTAATTTAATTGTATTTTGTTTTATATGTAAATGTAATGTACAAATATACTTATTTTCATAAAGTTGTTGATTAGATGATGAGTATATTAATTTATTTAAATTATAAATTTAATAATATAATAAATATTTTTTGGAGGAAAAAATAAAGAAAATTGATGAAAGAAAAAATAAAAGAAATGAAGTGAAAAAATGTAAAGAGTGGATCCCTCAACACGAGAATCTTGGAAAATCATGTTTCAAAAAGCATCCAAAACTTGTTAGATAACTACCATATGGGCATCTTAGCATACCAAGCTCGAGTATCTTACATTTCCATAAAACAAATGTGGGAATCTAGATGCATGTCTAGTAAGAATCTCGAATTCTCATGAAACAAACGATCATTTAATAGCATCTTAGAGACTATAATAGGGTGGGATTAAGGGGTTTTTTTTTTAATATTATTGTAAATGAAACTTATTTTAAAAATATAGTTGTTTAATTAAAAATATTAAAAATATTGTAGATTTTGAAACTTATTTAAAAAATATTGTAGTTTTAAAAAACTAAAGGTTGATCGTCTCTTCAAGAGACAACCATTTAGACGTGGTGCCACGCGGGCGCCACGTAATTTTTTTAAAAAATTTGAACGTGGTCGACCATGTGGGATGGTCGTCCCGGTCGGTTCATTTCTGGAAAAAAAAATATAATTTTTTATATTATATATTATTTAGTAGTTTTAATGTAAAAAACTTCTTAGTGTACTGCTACTCTAATGTGTCTTCCATTCCAGGTTTGAATCTTGGAACACCCACTACACTACTAAGAAGGTTTTTACATTAAGAACTACTAAATAATATATAATATAAAAAATTATATTTTTTTTTCCAAAATTAAATTTCAAAATCTACAATATTTTTAATATTTTTAATTAAACAACTATATTTTTAAAATAAGTTTCATTTACAACAATATTAAAAAAAATGGGATTAAAGCCTCACAGGAGGCCCAAAATACGTGCAAGTCAAACAACAAATAAATATTCAACAAAAATATCCAAAGCCCAAAAAGACATTTAAAAGGTCCAAGAGCATGGTCCAATCCGCCAAAATGAGCAAAAGAGGCCTCAAATTCACACGTGGCTAAATGGGCCTGTTTAGAGGTTTAGATCTCATTTCGACATGGATGTGTGAACTATACACCATTGTTATTTAGGCTTCTCATTAGGTACACATATATACTTGGGACAGGTGTAGGAATGACCAAATTTAATAACTCGTTTTAAAAAATGTCCAAACCTATCCGTTATTGCAATAATGGTTAAATGATTTTTTTTTAATACTGAAAAAATGTTTAGACAAATATACCCTTGTAACAAATTAGGTATATATGCATAATTTTAGGGATTTAAGATTTTTACGAATAACAAAAACAATCGACCTTAATATTAGGGAATCAACGGTATCTAATAAAAAATAAATCAGATTAAAATAATTATCTTAATTCTAATTTAAAATTGCTAATAAAGTAAATTTAAAAAGAATTGATAAGATTGTGTTGGATAAATCTTGAAATTTACCCATCCTTAATATAAGATTTACAAAATAAGAGATCAAATATTATTAGGGAGGAATAAGTTTATTTGTTTTAAAAAAATCAAGAGAGTAAATATTATTAAAATTAATAAGATTGGGTTGGGGTAGATTTTGAAATTTATCCATGTT